TGTGTTGCCCGAGCCACAAGAAACCGAGCAGCTGCAGCGTGCGAATGATTCGCCCCGCGCACCGCTCGATGAGCCACCCCTGACAAAGGAGGGGCTGGAGTCGGAAGAGGAGGCCGCACACCAACTGATGGCGGAGGATGAATCCGAAGCCATGACGGCGGCGTTGGGTGAGGCCTCCGGCAAGCCAGAGGCAGCAGAATTGCAACGGCAGCTTGATGCGCTTCGCCGGCAGAAGGACAAGCTGCGACTGCAGCTTAGGGAGGCGCGCCGTGGACAGGAGAAGCTGGACATCCTGCGTCGACACAACGAGGATCTGCAGTCTAGGCTAAATGATGCGCGCCGTGGACAGGAGAAGCTGGATGCCCTGCAGCGACACAATGAGGAGTTGCAGTCGCAACTGTGTGAGGCGCGTCGTGCGGAGGAGGCGTTGGAGGATGCCCGCCGCCAAACCAGGCAGTCGCAGAGGCAGGTTGAGGATTTGCGCCGCTCTGAGAAGCGCCTGAGGGAGGCTTGTGAAGCCACTAGGGCAAGGGAAGAGGCGCTGATGCAGAAACTGCGTGCAGCCGAAAATGCGATTGCTGTGGCGAGGAAACATGAGGATGCCGTAAAGCAGAAGGCACGCGGCATCATAAATGCGGTGAAAACAGAGTACCAGCGACAACCATTTGTGTTGCCCGAGCCGCAAGAAACCGAGCAACTGCAGCGTGCGAATGATTCGCCCCGCGCACCGCTCGATGAGCCACCCCTGACAAAGGAGGGGCTGGAGTCGGAGGAGGAGGCCGCACACCAATTGGTGGAGGAGGATGAATCCGAAGCCATGACGGCGGCGTTGGGTGAGGCCTCCGGCAAGCTAGAGGCAGCAGAATTGCAACGGCAGCTTGATGCGCTTCGCCGGCAGAAGGACAAGCTGCGACTGCAGCTGAGGGAGGCGCGTCGCGGACAGGAGAAGCTGGACATCCTGCGCCGACACAACGAAGATTTGCAGTCTAGGCTAAATGATGCGCGTCGCGGACAGGAGAAGCTGGATGCCCTGCAGCGACACAATGAGGAGTTGCAGTCGCAATTGTGTGAGGCGCGTCGTGCGGAGGAGGCGTTGGAGGATGCCCGCCGCCAAACCAGGCAGTCGCAGAGGCAGGTTGAGGATTTGCGCCGCTCTGAGAAGCGCCTGAGGGAGGCTTGTGAAGCCACTAGGGCAAGGGAAGAGGCGCTGATGCAGAAACTGCGTGCAGCCGAAAATGCGATTGCTGTGGCGAGGAAACACGAGGATGCCGTAAAGCAGAAGGCACGCGGCATCATAAATGCGGTGAAAACGGAGTACCAGCGACAACCATTTGTGTTGCCCGAGCCACAAGAAACCGAGCAGCTGCAGCGTGCGAATGATTCGCCCCGCGCACCGCTCGATGAGCCACCCCTGACAAAGGAGGGGCTGGAGTCGGAAGAGGAGGCCGCACACCAACTGATGGCGGAGGATGAATCCGAAGCCATGACGGCGGCGTTGGGTGAGGCCTCCGGCAAGCCAGAGGCAGCAGAATTGCAACGGCAGCTTGATGCGCTTCGCCGGCAGAAGGACAAGCTGCAGTCTACGCTTAGGGAGGCGCGCCGTGGACAGGAGAAGCTGGATGCCCTGCAGCGACACAATGAGGAGTTGCAGTCGCAACTGTGTGAGGCGCGTCGTGCGGAGGAGGCGTTGGAGGATGCCCGCCGCCAAACCAGGCAGTCGCAGAGGCAGGTTGAGGATTTGCGCCGCTCTGAGAAGCGCCTGAGGGAGGCTTGTGAAGCCACTAGGGCAAGGGAAGAGGCGCTGATGCAGAAACTGCGTGCAGCCGAAAATGCGATTGCTGTGGCGAGGAAACACGAGGATGCCGTAAAGCAGAAGGCACGCGGCATCATAAATGCGGTGAAAACGGAGTACCAGCGACAACCATTTGTGTTGCCCGAGCCACAAGAAACCGAGCAGCTGCAGCGTGCGAATGATTCGCCCCGCGCACCGCTCGATGAGCCACCCCTGACAAAGGAGGGGCTGGAGTCGGAAGAGGAGGCCGCACACCAACTGATGGCGGAGGATGAATCCGAAGCCATGACGGCGGCGTTGGGTGAGGCCTCCGGCAAGCCAGAGGCAGCAGAATTGCAACGGCAGCTTGATGCGCTTCGCCGGCAGAAGGACAAGCTGCGACTGCAGCTTAGGGAGGCGCGCCGTGGACAGGAGAAGCTGGACATCCTGCGTCGACACAACGAGGATCTGGTTCCTTTTTTTTCTAGTGATGTCGATTCTTCAAGTGAAGGTGATGTCAACGCTTTGCTTGGCTCGATTGATGTTGTTATGAGGAATGATTTTTCGTTGGATGATTCACTTTCTGATATGGATCTTTATGGACTTTGTATGAATTTGGCACGCCTTGTCCTGAGATTGCGTGAGCGTGTGTGTGTCCAGAGGGAGGCGTTGAAAAGGTACTTTGAGTGCCAGGATCGCTTGCGTGAGTCTAATGAGATGCGTATAAGGAGGCTGGAGGAGGAATTTGAGGATTTACTTAAGGATGTAAGAAGGAGAGATAAGAGGGAATAAGTAGACGGTTTTGAGTGCAGTTGTGATTTTTTTGATTGGTTTTTTTAATTTTTTAAAAAGTATTATTATTATTATTATTATTATTATTATTATTATTATTATTATTATTATTATTTTGTGATTAGGAAAATGAATGTGGAATGGGATGTCTTGTTGAGCGATAAATATTTTTTTTTTTTCGGTTGAGGTTTTTGCGATATATATATTTTTATGTATTTATGAGAGACAGCGCTTGGAACGGTGTTGGTTTTTTTTTTTTTTTTTACAGTGGTGTCCTTTGTGTAATGAAGGTGTTTTTTTTTTTTTTTTGCCGTGACTGTGGTTTGTTTGCAATTTCTTTTTTTGAGTTTGAAATTAAATTTGGGTTAAGCATTTATTTTTGTATATATATATATATATATATATCCATATATTTTGCTTTTTATTGTTGCATTGTTGTAGGGAGTGGCATCCGATCACAGTGCTATATATACATCTACATCTACATCTACATATATATATATATTTGTTCCACCTTTGATTGATGATGGACCGCGATGAAGTGTGTCATATGCCCATTCCGTTTGATTGGAGGGATGAGCGTGATGTAGTTCGGCGTGAAAAGATAAAGGGCGTGGGTGTTGTTTCTGGGGCATCGTCTGAGTCTTTGGTCACTGAGCTTGAGCATTTGGATGGCATGTCGTCTTCGGTGTCATCCTTTTCGTGCGCCGTTATCACAACACGCCACACGAAACGATTTGAGGGGGACAACTGGAAGTGTGTGTTGGAAAACCACATGGAGGCGCTCCGCAGTACCTTCGTGTTAGAAGCGGCCATAGCTTGCCATAGGGAACCAGAGGACATTACGGATCTCGAGTTCCGACTTGGCAGCTTATACGTTACGTTCCACGTCTCCCACGACGCGGATGTCGGGGAGAGTGAAATCCAGGAGCGTGTTGATCTGTACCCTTTCCGTGAGGTGTTACGGCTGTATGCGAATCGCGATGCTCCGCCAAACGGCCTGGATGCAGCACTGAAACGCATTTCGGAGCTTGAGGAGGAAATGAAGGAGAAACTGGAGAAACTGCAAGACGAAAATTTGAAGAAGTTGGCTGAGCTTGAAGAAGCAAAGCGGGCGATGGAGGAGACGCTGATGCGGCAACTTCACGATCGGGAGCGGGAGTTTTGTGAAGCACTTGGAAAGTCGCAGGAAGAGCTGCGTGCCAGCGAGGCGGAGAACAAGCGCCTCGAGGAGGAATGGAAAAGGGCGCTCGAGGCGATGAAGCGGGAGCGCCGCCGGCTTGACAAGCATGCAATGCGCCAGAACGAGTTGATTGCGGCCATCATACAGGGGAATAAGAAGGAGATGGAGGCAAAGGAACGGGAATTTGAAGAGAACCTGCTCGAAAAGGATGTCATTATTGAGAACCTGCGCGTCCGGTTGCGCTCAAAAAGTGAACCAGCCAACGGGGAAATGGTTTCGCGTGCTGCGTCTGTGGACGCTGACCGTGCCGAGGAATTTGCGAAACTGATGGGCCGTATGGAGGAGATGGCTATTTTGCTCGAGAAAACGCAGGAGTCGGAGTCGGAGGCGCGTGGGGAGATTCAACGTTTATCCGAAGCACTGAAGCTTTCAGAGGAGGCACGTCAGTCGGACGCAGTCATTTATGAGAACAACTTTCTGGCAATTAAGCAGCAGCTGCAGGCTTTTCGCGACACAAAACTTGCTGAAGACCTTCAAAAGCGTCAAGAGGAGTCCCGTTCTCGCCGTGGCGCAAATCTGAGTAACGAGGAAAGGACAAACGAGACTATTGTGCGTCAGTATGAAACAGCGTTGGAAAACATCATTGGAACTCTACAGGATCGCCTTACGATTCTTCGCGAAGAGTATGCATCTTTTCTGAAGGTGTCCGAAGAGGAGACAGCAAACGAGAAGGAGGTACTCAATGAACACGAACAGGACAGCCAACGCGTGCGTCAAACGTTCCGCACAGCGGCACTTACGTTGCAGCGCGTCTTTTGGAGCACACGCGAGAAGGAGGTGCCGGAGGTCATATCGGAGTTAGATAACGCGGCCGCGGCCGCAGAAAAGTCCAGAGCCGCCGTAAAGGTCACTTTGGCATTGCTGGATTCGCGTCTCCAGTCGTTCAGCGAACAGAAGGAGTGGATGGAGACACACCAGCAGTCGCTAGAGGATCTTCTTGTGTCCCTTCGACAGTTAAACAAACGGGCTTTTGAGCGCCAGCTGTCTCTAATGAACGAGCGGGTGGCAAGGCCTTCCAGCACCCCGTAATAATTGAAGTACGGCTGCTGGATCCATTTAATTCTTTCGTGTTCTTTTGTGTCCTCATTCTTTATTATTATTATTATTATTATTATTATTATCATTATTATTATTATTATTAGTTGGACGATGTTGTTCTTATGTGGCAGCTTCAGAAGGCAGTAAAATGTATCCGTGCATGTGCACAAGTACGATATTCTTTTTGAATTGGGGACGAGGACGTCATGCTGCTTCACCGGCTGTAAAATAGAGTCTCTGTAATGGAATAGTGAGGTGGGTGGGTGGGGTGCAATTATAGATGAGTAAAAGCGGGAAATGGAAACCGAAAAGACGCGAAAAAGGGAGAGAAGTGAAGCCAAAAAAAAAAAAAAAAACGGAGAGCCAAGAAGGGAAGGAATGAGTCCATTTTACACTTATGGACCCATTTTCATTCATCGTTTGCAATGTATTTTGTGAAATGTGAAGTGAACGCTGAGAGACAAGAGCTCTTGCTTAGCAAAAGGAAGAAAAATCGATATTTGTGGAGGCCGGAATGAGTCAATGAACACAGTTAGCTGCATTTTATAATGTTACCATTTGTTCTGAGATTTTTTCCCCCCCCCCCCTGTCTTTGTGAATTTAAGTTATTTTGAAATACACACCCTCAACAAACAAAACAGAAAAAGAATACATCCTTTTCAAACTTCAACGATGCCTGCGTATCCGTCCCGTGAAGAGTACCGCCGTGTTCGCAAGACCGACGGCGAGAAGGAGAAGGGCCAGGGTCCGGAAAACGAGATCCGCGTGACGGCGAAGCATGGTCAGCGCAGCTACATCACGTATGCGATTGCACTCCTCCGTGGCGAGGATGGCAAGGTGCAAAACGACACGATCAAGATCAGTGCCATGGGTGCTGCAATCCACAACGCGGTGAACATTGCGGAGATTGTGAAGCGCCGTGTGGTCGGCCTGCACCAGACGACGGATGTCTCGTCGGAGATAATTCACGACGAGTACGAGGCGATTGATGGGAAGAAGGAGAATATGAAGGTGGAGCGCAAGGTTTCAACCATCCTCATCACGCTCTCTCTCAAGCCGCTTGACCGGAACCATGTTGGATACCAGCCGCCTCTGCCGGAGTCCGAGGTGAAGGAGCAGGACGACCCCGAGCCTGGCGAGTCCGCTGGTGAAAACCGCAACCGTGGTGAGCGGGGGGAACGCACTGACCGTGGCGGTCGTGGCGGCGGCCGAGGCAACAACAGCGGCGGTCGTGGTCGCGGTTATTCACGTGGAGGCCAGCGCGGCGGCAGCAACATCGGCGCGTCCCGCAGTGGCCGTGGTGGCAATGGTCGCGGTGGCTCCCGTGGCGGTCCCGATCGTCGCAATGATCGCCGTGTAGATTGAAGCGGTATTTGATAGGGGGTTATGGGTCAAAGTACATGTGAAAGGAAAGCAAATAAAGAAGAAATCCAACGTCAAAGAGGCATGACGAGAGAAGCAAACTGATTTTGTTGGGTATGAGGAACTATCGGTCTAACCCTGCTGCAGTCTGTGTTCGATACATCTCCTCAAAGAAGTGAATTGGCGCCACCGCGGTGCGTGAAAAACGGGAAAAGGACGGCATGAAAAAAGGAAAATGGAATTGTTGTTTTGAAGGAGGATAAAAAGGAAGGATTATCATTATGTTTATTAAAAAAAAAAAAAGATCCCAAAGACTTCTGCGTTGATGATAGCAAAGAAAACAGCAGCAAAAAAGGGGCAGCAGTGAGGGAGGTGAATTTAACGGCATGCGTAAAAAAGAAAAAAAAAACAATAACAAACAAACAAACAAACAAACAACAATAACAAAACAATGAAATAATAACAATAATAAAAAAAAGAAAAAACGACGCTTAGGCCGATTGTTTTCCCAAAGTGGGGTGGAGAAAGACAGGTGCAGGTATTGAGGGGAGGGGCTTGAGCTGAATAAAGTGGCTTTCCGAGGGTTTGGAGCAAAAAGGAGGAAGACTGTGGGAAATAAAATAAGAAACGCACGGTGAGACCGAGGAGCAAACGAAGAGAGGCAATAGAGAGAAGAAAGAAATACGAATGGGTGCGGGTGACTGATAATGTTGTAATCATGCCACGAGGGGGTGGGAAAAAACCGGGATATGTTGCCAGTGACATTGGCAGTTGGTATGTGTGGAGGCATCTTTCTCTGTGTATTTGTGGTTGCGGAGTGGGTTACGGGGTCATGATCACGAGAAATAGTGGAGGGAGAGGATAGGGGCAATGAAGTGATGGTGAACTGCCTAATTGTGTAGACTGCATCTATTTCTTATTTCTTATTCCTTCCTTCTTTTTTTTTTTTTTCTTGATGATGATCCCATTGCGATCCTCACATCACACCCTTTTCTGCCTGCTGCAGTGGTATTATTTCATTGTTTTTATTATTGTTTTCTCTGTATGTGTGTGTGTGTTTTTTCTTAATCACAATTGCGGTGGAAAGAAAAAATGGATGCGATTATTTTCATGGGGTAAATGGGAAACTTGTTTTTTTTATGTTTGCATTTTTGCTTTACATAAAATAATATACATATTATAAAATGCTGTTTGTGTGCCGGAAGTGTGGCGCAAGGAGGCGATTGGGAACACACATGTGTGCCCGTCACTCTAGCCTAACACCAACACACGTTAGCGTAAATAATATTATATATATATATATATATATGCCGAGTACTTCTCTTATTTTAGGTATGTCCGTGTGCATGTGTGTCCACTTAGGGATTGGAAGGGAAGGTGGGATGCTGTTTCCCATTGTCCCTGTCATTTTCTTTTTTTTTTTTTTTTTTTCTGGGGCACTTTGAATTAACTGCTCCTTTTCTCGCAATCATTCGCACTGCCTAAACGAGAGAAGCATACCAACACTGGAATTGAACAGGTGTCATATATATATATATATATATATATATTTATATATCTGACTGTGGCCGCAGCCCTCGTACCAAGCCCTGATTATTCATCGAGGCAAACAAGGAAAAAAGACCTCTATATAGTAACTGTATCTGTACCACAACGGGAAAAAGTGACGCAATGGGAGGAAAAGGGAGAAAAAAGAAATACGAAGCTGCACACAACCGCTCGTAAAGAAAAAAAAAAAAAAAAAAGAGGAAAGAGCGAAAATGCATTTTAACTAGGAAGAGCCAGAAATATGTGAGGATTTGTTGGACCGAATAAAAGGCAAGGGCCTGAAATTACGAGGGAATCCCCTCGTGAATGTAATTTTTCTCATTCCTCTTGTCTCTTGTTGTTGTGTGAACGCCCTTTGAAGATAATTTCTTGTGCCTTTTTCCTGGAGGTTTGGGGGGTGGGGTGGGGCCGGGGAACACGAGGAGGGGGGAAAAAAAGAAAAAGTAAAGCACCAGCAAGAAACGATGACTAATAATCGGGAGGGACCGAAAGCAAGTTTGCTGATGAACACGAAGAGGAAGAGCAACAATTCTGCTGGGGAGGGGGATATCAGAGAGAGAGAGAGGGAGAGGTGGAAGGAACGGGACGTAAGGAAGATAAAAAGAGAAAGGACACGGCAGAATGAACCCTAACCCGGCAAATATTGAAGGAGAAGACGCGAGGAAAACAAAAAACAACAAAAAAAAAAGACGACAAGAAGAAATGAAAGTGGGATCTAAAAAAGAAAAAAAAGATTAAAAACGCATTGTGAGGAGTGAACAAAATTTCTGCTGCTTGAATGCTGCACTTACAAGGCAAGGAAAAATAAATACACATATAAATATATATTATATATTTATTTATGTGATTGAACGAGAGACAGGGGGAAAAAAGGAATGAAGGCATGAGAGCAGTGGCGATTAAGGAGAGTAGACGAGGGACGGTGGAGGAAAAAAGTTACTCCGAAAACGACAGCTTGTGCATGTGTTTTAGTCCCTTTTTTTCTATCTTCTTCACGACGTTATCTTGTTCTTTCTTTTCACTCCACAAGGGAGTGGGGAGTGGAGAAAAGGAAAGAGGAGGAAGACAAGTGAATGCAATCGGCTACACGAGAGGAGAAAAATTGGCTTTTTGTAATTTCCTTTTGTCTGAACCCTCTATTTTTTTTTGTTTGTTTGCCTTTTGAGATCTATTGTTAAACATTTGCTTAGGAACCAAGGATTTTGGGCTGTTCTGCCTTTCAGAAAACAATCAACGATGCCTGTGTATCCGTCCCGTGAAGAGTACCGCCGTGTTCGCAAGACCGACGGCGAGAAGGAGAAGGGCCAGGGTCCGGAAAACGAGATCCGCGTGACGGCGAAGCATGGTCAGCGCAGCTACATCACGTATGCGATTGCACTTCTCCGTGGCGAGGATGGCAAGGTGCAAAACGACACGATCAAGATCAGTGCCATGGGTGCTGCAATCCACAACGCGGTGAACATTGCGGAGATTGTGAAGCGCCGTGTGGTCGGCCTGCACCAGACGACGGATGTCTCGTCGGAAATAATTCACGACGAGTACGAGGCGATTGATGGGAAGAAGGAGAATGTGAAGGTGGAGCGCAAGGTGTCAACCATCCTCATCACGCTCTCTCTCAAGCCGCTTGACCGGAACCATGTTGGATACCAGCCGCCTCTGCCGGAGTCCGAGGTGAAGGAGCAGGACGACCCCGAGCCTGGCGAGTCCGCTGGTGAAAACCGCAACCGTGGTGAGCGGGGGGAACGCACTGACCGTGGCGGTCGTGGCGGCGGCCGAGGCAACAACAGCGGCGGTCGTGGTCGCGGTTATTCACGTGGAGGCCAGCGCGGCGGCAACAACACCGGCGCGTCCCGCAGTGGCCGTGGTGGCAATGGTCGCGGTGGCTCCCGTGGCGGTTCCCGTAATGATGCTGCTTAGCGACTGTCGTTAGTATTAATCAGTGCGCAGGGGAAAAGAAAATAAAGAGAAAATAAACACAAATGGCGAAAGACAAAAGGGAAAAATGAAAAGAATGAGAAGAAGAGTATTATTAATACGGTAAACTTTTGAATGAAAAGCGTCTTGGACAAACTGAAACAAACAAACAAAAAAAGATTGAAAGAGATAAAAAAAAATTATGAAATCAATTTAGGGGAGGTAAAGGCGACGGGTGACATCTAGAAAAAAAAAAAAAAAAAAAAAAAAACGAAGGGGGTGAAAATATTTAAGATGCTTTATATCCGTGTATTGTGGAGGATGCGCTTGGACGTTCTCTTCTGCCTTTTTTTTTTGTATGTTTTTCTTATTGTTGCGGCTTCACTAGGAATACAGTTTCACTTTGGGCTGAAATTACTCTGTGGTGGTGTTGGATCTTGACGGGGCGTTCTGGGGAGAGGCATGCCTGTTTTTTCCCTCTGAATTTTTGGTCGCCTTTTTTTTTTGATATTTGTGTTTTTTTTTTTTCTTCCCTATTCCTCCGTTGTTTTTGTGTGCGTCGGTTGCGTGTTTGCTTCCGCTTCCCTGTTGGGTTTTCCTTCCGCGTCGTTTCTTTTTTTTTTTTTTTCCTTTTATTAATGCGTTTTTTTTTTGTTGTTGTTGTGTATGTTTGTGGTTTGTGTGCCTGTCCATTTTTTTCCCCGCTGGCGGAAAGGGTGGGAGCACCTCTTGTATCACCTTTGTAGCGAGAAGGAAGGGAAACGGTGGTGTGTGGCGCAGGGAAAAGTGGAGCAGAATGATATCGAGTGTATTTTTTTTAAATCACCATGGCGAGGTGATCATTGAGAAACAGTTTCGGGAGAAATTGCCTCGTACCATTCTTGAAGACTTCTGGTCGACTTACATGACGCCGCTGCGCTCTGTACATGAGGCCCCTGCGGTGACACCGTACAGTCGCTTTGCCTTTGTACAAATTCATCGCAACGACGTAGTTCTCTTGGCGATTCTAACAAATGAAGGGTTTCCACTGCTCGTGATAGAAATCCTGTCCTTGATTGGCTGGGTGGTCCAGGAGTACCTTAAGGTGTTCTCTGAGAATACACTACGTGAGAATTTCTCCGTGGTGTATCAGCTTTTGGAGGAGCTCATTGACAACGGCTATCCTTTAACAACAGAGATGCACGTCTTGGAGGAGTTGGTGGTACCACCGACACTAGAGAACAAGTTCCGGAACGTCTTGGACGCACCGATGAAGAAAAGGCGCCGTCATTTAGGGGTACGCTCCGTCCCTTGGCGGGATCCGCTGACAAGGCACACTTCCAATGAAATTTTCTTTGACGTTGTGGAAAAGTTTGATTGTATAGTCGACTGCGAGGGGAATATTGTGCGAGCGGTTGTCCGTGGTGCCGTGCATGTCAACTGTCGTTTAACTGGCATGCCTGATGTTGTCGTCCGGATGGCAAACCTGGACTTTGTTGATGATTTTGCCTTTCATCGATGTGTTCGTCGACATCGATATGAGACGGATCGCACCATTACTTTTATCCCCCCTGACGGAAAATTTACTCTTCTGGAGTACCTTTGCAAGCCACTTCTTGGCGCGCAAGCTCCTTTCTACGTGACGCCACAGATTACTTTTGACAAATCGGGCGGCCGTTTCAACTGCATGGTGGGGATTCGTGGCGCGGGTAGCATAGGGAAAAACAGGGATTATGGAATTCATAAAGTTGTCATTCACCTGCCGCTTCCACCTCAAACAGAGTCGGTGCAGGTCCATAGCAGCACTCAAGGGACTACAAATTTCAACAAGACCCGGGGCATCTTAACATGGAGCGTCGGGACGCTTTTTCGTGGGACAAGTTCACTAAGCGGTGAATTCACCTTTTCCACAGACAAGGGAGCGGATGGTGTGATACCATGTACGGGCGATTCCGCTATTGTTGAGTTCAACATCCCTAACCATCTTTTGAGTTCAATCCGTATGGATAGTGTGCAGGTGCTGAATGAGATAGGAAAGCCATACAAGGGCGTCAAGTACGTCACACATTCTGGACGCTTTGTAGTGCGTACGGTGTAGTTTCCATTTATTTATTTTTCGTTGAAGTTTTATTTATGTGTGCCGTCTGCGTGATGAATCCAATTAATGCCGTGTAGACACCTAAGAGACGGCTTGCATCTGAGAAAATGAAGTTCCCTTTCATGGTTTACGACTGCAGTGGGAAAAGGGGAATGGTTTGTAAAATTACTACTGTGCTTTTGTTTTAGTGATCATGTATGAGATTATATATATATGTACATATAATGCTTGTATGCTTTTTTTTTTTTTTTTGGTAACATACATGGAGTGAAGGGTAATAGATTATTTAAAATGCCTAGGGACTCTCTTGAAGAAAAGTTTCAACGGCTGGCGGGAATTGTTGGAAAGAAAGCAACGCGACCGCACATGTCTCTTTCTAAAAAGCTTGAGTTGTACGGGCTATGGAATCAGGTCATGCATGGTCCAAATAAACGACCTCAACCTTCTCGCATGAATCCGGTTGCTTATGCTAAGTGGAAAGCCTACAAGAACTATGAGCACCTGAGCAAGGAAGAGGCCATGAAGAAGTTTAACGAGATTGCGGAGAAGGCGATGGCTTCTTCAAAGCTTTAAGAAGCGTCTTTAAAAGAGAGAGGGAAAGAAAGAGGGGGACTGGGAACAAGTTCATCGGTGGAATTGTTACTGGCAGCGTTGACGTTCACGACTTGGAGGAGCGGTGTTGCCGAGATCGTCGCATTGTACCATATTTATATTTTTAAATAAGTACACTCGACCGTATGCTTTAAATAAGTGGCAGGTGTTAGTTCCATCACGTTACTTTTTTTTTTTGACTTTTTCTGTAGCTTATTTTTTATATGCGAATAGAGAGAGACAGAGAGGAAAAAAAAAAAAAGGGTGGGAGGGTGGGGAAGAAATGAAATTACCACAGCGCGGTCCACACACTAAGGTACTAAAGGACTCACGGATGCTATTATTACTATTAATATTACTAAATGTGGTCTCGTGGCTTGTGGTGTTCTGTTTTGGTAACTCGTGGAGGGAATTTTTGACTAGATCCGGCTTAATATATATATATATGTATATGTATGAAAGAGAGAGAGAGAGAGGGATGGCTTGTGTATCTACTTTGTTTTCCTTAAAATTTTACTGTTTTATTTTTGGTTTCAAATATACCACGCGTGACAGTAGCGCGGTTGCAGTTTCTTTATACCTTCTACCCTATACAACCTTTCTCTTTGCCCTCCGCGCGGAGAGTTTCGGTGGTGCGAGAGAGGGAGTAAAGACTGCCAATTCGTGCGATTATAATAAGTCAGTTTGTTTTAGGTTTATTGCTGAGCCAACGGATTTGGTGGCGCGTGAGTCTGGCAAATGATCCGAATGGAGAGGTTTGGCGCGTTGGGCCAGACTATGACCTTTTTTCTCTTTTTCTCCCCTTGTTGGAGGAAAGGTGAAGGTTTCATCCAAGCGTATATTCCTTTTTTTTTTTTTTTTTTTTTTTGGTGGGGGGAGAGGAAAAAGGGAGGTGGCAGAAGAACGTTTTTTTTTTTTCCTTACTTTACCCAGCGAGCAAAGCAATGACGGAGACGAAAATTCGAACAGAGGAGGCACGTGACCTCACGCGTGTTGAGCGCATTGGGGCGCATTCGCACATCCGCGGCCTGGGCCTTGACGATGCTCTTGAGGCGCGTATGAGCAGCCAAGGAATGGTGGGGCAGGTGGAGGGTCGTCGTGCTGCCGGCGTGGTGGTGCAGATGATAAAGGAGGGAAAGATTGCCGGTCGATGTGTTCTTCTTGCCGGTGGCCCTGGAACCGGCAAGACGGCGATTGCAATGGGAATGGCACAGGCACTTGGTGCCGAGACCCCATTTACCATGATTGCTGGCAGTGAGATCTTTTCGCTTGAGATGTCAAAGACAGAAGCTCTCACGCAGGCATTTCGCCGAAGCATTGGGGTTCGCATCAAGGAAGAGACGGAAATCATAGAGGGTGAAGTGGTTGAGATATCTATTGAGCGACCGTCGACAAATCCCGCTGAAGCAAAAGGACGCACCGGTCAATTGGTGCTGAAGACATCAGACATGGAGTCAACGTTTGATCTCGGAGCTAAGATGATTGAGAGTCTTCAAAAGGAAAAGGTGCAGGTTGGTGATGTTATTACCATCGATAAAGCCACCGGCAAAATTAATAAACTAGGCCGAAGTTTTGTGCGAAGCAAAGACTATGACGCCATGTCGTCCAACACGAGATTTGTTCAGACGCCAGAAGGGGAACTGTCAAAGAGAAAGGAGGTGGTCCATACGGTAACGCTTCATGAAGTGGATGTCATCAACTCAAGGCAGCAGGGTTTCCTTGCCTTGTTCGCTGGTGATACGGGCGAGATCAAGCACGAGGTGCGTGAGCAAATTGATCAACGTGTGGCTGAATGGCGAGAAGAAGGCAAAGGTGAAATTGTGCCTGGTGTTTTGTTTATTGACGAAGTACATATGCTTGATATTGAGTGTTTCTCGTGGCTGAATCGTGCATTGGAAAGTCCTCTTGCACCCGTTGTAATTATGGCCTCCAATCGCGGTATTTCCCGTATCCGTGGGACGCACTATAAAGCGCCACATGGCATTCCCATTGATCTGCTTGATCGCATGGTCATTGTCACGACGAAACCATACTCTGAGGCGGAGCTTAGCAAAATTATTCGCATTCGTTGTGAAGAAGAAGACGTGGAAATGGATGAGGATGCCATAGCATTGCTTACCATGCTTGGTAAGAGCACATCATTGCGATATGTCCTCCAGCTCATTACAACGGCAAATTTGGTTGCCCAGAAGCGTCGGGCCTCTACAGTATCTATTCACGACATCAAGAAGGTGTACTCTCTTTTCATTGACCTGCGTCGCAGCGTGGAGCTTCTGCGGGAACACGAGAAGGACTTTCTTTTTGGGGAAGCAGATGAAAATCTTGAGTCGGGCCACCGTACAAATTGCCGAAACGAAGAAGAGGATTAGATCTTTTTTACCCTAATTATTTCTTTCATTCCTTCCTTTTTTTTCTTTCTCTATTTGGCAATTCATGTATACGCCTGAGAGAAATGGCTCCTCAACTAGCAGCAAGCAAGATGGATGGGATATAAACATACGTATACATATATATCTATATATACGGATTCCTGTGCGCACTGTTAGATCGATTGTGTGCTTTATTTATGTTGTAATTGTTGTCCCTTCAGCGTTGGAGGAAGCAAAGAAACAAAAAGATATGGATTGAGGTGAAGCGGGTGGATGGGGCTTGCTTTTCTTGGGCACTCAACAAACTGTTTGACAGGTCTATTATGAACTGAAGATGAGAGTGATGAAATTACATACACAAACACACTCACAGGCACAAGAACAGCAATAAAAAATAATAATAGTAATAATAAAGAGAGAGAAGGAAAGGAGAATATATATATATATTATAAAACAAACACAAACAGAGAAGAAAAAAGAAAAAAAAGAAAAAAAAATTGTTTGTTGCGCCACGCTTGGTGAAGGATAAGCGATATTTTTCGATCCTTTCTTTGAACACCGTTACTTCTACTGTTAGAGTTGCCCAAAGCAATGCGGCATTGGAATGATACGGGGTGATATTTGTTCCTTTCTTTTAACTTGGCTACATTATTTTGATGTTTACACGTTAACTGTCTTTCTTTCTTTTTTTTCTTTTTTCTTTTCTTTGCTTCTGTGCGTACAGACTACCGCTTTGGCACGGAGGAAAGGGTCACGTGGGAAGACGGGTGCGAGGCAGGAGGGTGGATGTTTTGCTGAGGAGCCGTGAGTTCCGACAAAATCATGAGGAGAATTCAACTGGCGTTTTTAACAAAACTGTGGCAGCGAAGGAATTGTGGCTCTTTTAATGAACGGGCGCTGGTGCAAAGGACATGTGAGCATATTTATTGTAGCAGCTCTGCTCGGGAGCAGTTGCGCCAACTAATTCACGAATCATCCGTAGAAAATGCCCTGCGTCATTTGGGCGAGTTTTCCAATGATGTTTCTGTGTTGAAAGGGTCTGCTTGGCTTGGACAACTATCAAAGGCTCCCGATGTTGTTGGACGCATTGCTGTTATCTTGCCGCAGTTTGAGAAATGGTATGTAGCCCGGAAAGCTCCAGAAAAGGTGACGATGCATGAGCCCTGGGATTGGTATCCAAAGGCTCGCTTTATGCGACGTCGATTTGTTTTTCACTATGGCCCCACAAATAGTGGAAAGACGCATGCCGCGTTGGAAACTTTGGTGAAGGCGAAGAGTGGTGTTTATTGTGCACCTCTTAAAGCACTCGCAGCACAGGTTTGGAAAAGGATTGACGCAAGCGTACCATGTGACTTGTTGATCGGCGACGAGCGTCGATTTGGTGGGGGTGCAGAACATGTCTCTTGCACGGTGGAAATGACGCCCATCGATTATCAGATTGATGTGGGGGTAATTGATGAGGTGCAAATGATTGCTGATAGGGACAGGGGATGGGCGTGGACACGGGCACTTTTGGGATTACCGGCCCGCGAAATTCACCTTTGTGGCGAGGAGCGTGCCATTCCGCTCATTCGCAAGGTGCTTTATAAAACGCATGAGTTGCAGCGACTGGAGGTTGTGCCACATAAGCGGCTTGTTCCACTTGAGGTTTCCCCCTCCTTGGATGGGGATCTGAGACGGATAGAGAACGGTGACACTCTGGTGTGCTTTTCGAGGAGGGCCATTTTTGATATGAAGAAGAAGCTTGAAAACATTTCGGGGATGGCTCCGCATTGTATTTACGGCTCAATGCCCTTTTCTGTTCGTGAAGCCCAGGCAGACGCATTTAACAACGGTACACGGGACGTCATTGAAGGAAAAAGTGGGAAAAAACACGTTCTCATCTCCACGGATGCCATCGCGTACGGACTGAATATGAGTATTGAGCGCATTATTTTTACTTCCATGAGAAAGTTTGACGGGAAACAGATGGTTACTTTACCGCAGGCAACAATTTTGCAGGTGGCTGGTCGCGCAGGTCGTTTTGGCGTATTGCGCTCTCATAAATTTGGTCGATGCACAACTCTTGATTCGAACGACTTTGCAGTTTTGTGTGAGGCGGTCAACAGTCGTCTACCTTCGTTGCAAAAGGCAGGGCTTCTCCCCACAGCTGAAGTACTCGAGCTGTACATTAGACTACGTGAGGCGGAGGAAGGCGGTAGGGTGACGGAAAATAATTTAGCATCATTTTATCAACGCATGCGGGAGTTTTCGGAATGTTGTCAGGCTTCTGATTTGTTTTTTCCTTGTGATCTCTCGCGCTCATTGCTTCAGGTTGCAAAGGAGCTGGAAGCGGTCACCGATCTTTCCTTAAGCGATCGGATCTTGTTCTGCTACGTACCTCTGAATGATCGTGGGAAAGAGACTTATGACCTCCTTCGGGCGTTTGGGCATGACCATGCCGCCGGGCGACACGTCGTTCTTCGCATTGACGAAGAATTTGAACGACTGGTGAAGCAATGTGATCTTGTCTGTAGTGGAGATACGAGGAGAGCTCATCAGGTCTTGACAAGGATGGAACATTTATACCGAGTGGCAGAGATGTACTGCTGGCTTGCATGGCGCTTTGGTAAGACGTTTGTTCATCTTGAGACGGCTACGGCGTTGAAGGAAAGGGCTGCGTTGAAGATGGAAGAAATATTGCAACATCTTTAAATACGTTGAGCGTGAGGGCTCATATGCGGGTCCATCTTTGTCTGCTTTTTTTTTTTTTGTGTGTGTGTGTTTGTGCGTCTTTGGAGGGTTGGGGAATCAATGGGGGACTATGACGTCCCTTCTCGAATGGCGTTTCTTCTTATTTCCCATCTCTCTCTCTCTCTCTTTATTATTATTTATTTATAGTCATTGATCTGATGGGATTTATGGGCGTTCTTTGTTTCTGGCGCTCGAAAAAAAGGGGGAAAGACGATGAGATACGGATTGTGCATGCTGGTCGCCCATCCATGGAGTACTGTGACAATACAGTGAAGAGCTCCAAGTACACGCTTCTTACATTTCTTCCGGCGAACCTCTTTGAGCAGTTTCATCGTCCGATTAATCTTTACTTCCTTTTACTGACAGCGCTCCAGTTTACCCCCTCTGTGGCCCCAGTGAGTCCGTTTACCTCACTTGTGCCGTTAACCATTGCCTTTTTGATCACCGCCATCAAGGAGGGCATTGATGACTGGTATCGACACAAGCTGGACGACGAGTGTAACTCCAGGTGGTACAGTATAATCGATATGGAAACCCTAAATGTGGAGCGGGTACAATGTAGGGACATACGTGTTGGAGCTGTGCTGCTCTTGTTGCCCATGGAGGTGGTTCCGTGTGATGTTGTGTTACTGCTTTCCTCCGGTGAAAATGGAGAGGTGGTGATTTCCACCGAGGCGTTGGACGGTGAAACGGTTTGCAAGAAACGCTATGCAATATTAAGTGACATGTACGCCCAACGTCCGACAACAAGTGTGGCAACTGTGGATTCCATGCAGGAGGATGAAACAAATATACGTGTGGCAGCAGAGTTTATTAGGGATACAGAATGTGTTATAGAATCAGAGGGACCCAAGCCTTTTCTCAATAGTTTTACAGGTGTTGCCAGAGTACAAGTGCCCCATGATACGGAAGAGGAAGTAACTATTGGCGTCAATGCCGAGAATGTTGCCTTAAACTCAAGTGTACTAAGAAATACTCGCTTTGCTCTGGGTGTGGCTGTGTTTACAGGCAACGAGACACGGGTTTCGATGACACGCACTACACCACCCACAAAGTGGTCTTTGATTGATCAACGCTTTAATCAAATGGTCATCGTTGTTTTTTTTATTCAATTTATTTTAGTGACGGTGTACGTGGGTTTATCAGACGCAGCGTTAGAAAAGGATCAACACGCCCTTTGGTATCTTGGCATGTATGAAGAAAAGATAGCCTTGAAGGAGTACGTCATTCTGTTGCCATTACGGTTTTTTTTATTGGTTTCCCCGATGGTGCCGCTTTCTTTTAAAGTGATGGTCGATGCATCCAAAGCATTTATCAGCATTCTCATCAAGTGGGATGAGGAGATGTCCGATGAAAACATCAAAACCGAAGTTCATAATTCCTCTTTGATGGAAGATCTTGGGCAGGTGGAGTATTTGATGACAGACAAAACGGGAACCCTCACACGTAACACATTAACTCTCAAGAGTGTTGTAGCAACGAATGGAAAAATATTCAACCCAGGGACTCCACATGAGGCGTCTGTCGTCAGACGAGAAATGAGGCAGGACGAATCGTTATTGCAATTGATGCGAGTATTGGTTTATTGTAATACTGTGGAGAGCACACGAGGAATAACATTGAATGTGGCGCAGACATCAGCGCCAAAATCTCCACCATCTTCCGCGTGGGTGTCGCCGTCACCGGATGAGGTGGCACTGGTAGAAGGAGCCACTTTTTTGGGTGTCAAGTTACTTGAGCGAAAAAGAAGACGAGCTTTTGTCATGTTTGGCAACAATGTTGAGTCTGCAACCGTGCTGAAGTTTCTTCCGTTTACTCCAGAACGTCGTCGGTCAAGTATACTGCTTCAGATTGATGGGGATATGCGATTTCTTCTTCTGACGAAGGGCTCAGATGAAAGTGTTTTGCCGCGGTGTATTAAAACCTCTTATAACCGTCAGAGGGTTTTACACAGACTGAGTTGCTTGAGTAGTGAGGGGCTTCGTACGCTTGTGAGTGCCTACCGCTACTTGACAGATGAGGAGGCAGAGATATGGCTGGCAGACGTACGAAGGAAGGAAGCGATAGTCACTGCCGCTGCACGTGCTGTAAATGTCGGTGAGGCATATGAGTCTTTGGAAAAAGACCTTATTTACTGCGGCATCACTGCGGTGGAGGATCAACTACAGGACGACGTTTGTCGCACCATCACACAATTGCGATCCGCTGGTATACGGGTGTGGATGTTGACGGGGGACAAAAGTCAAACGGCGAAACAGACAGCCATAGCAAGCGGGCTTGTTGGCCCTGACGACAGAGTTATTGCGTTGACCCCTGAGGACGTCGAATCCCTGTCAGTCCAGGAACATTTCGAGTACGTCGAACGGCGTGTGAATTATGTATTACGTAAACGGAAATTCCAAGAGGCTGAGAAGAAGCATAATATTCACCGTTCCTGGTACGTGCGTTCTGGTCTTCGTGACTTTGTAGGGGAATTTTTTCACCATGAATCCATTTTATCTTTGCTTTACCACCCTTCGAGTAAGAGTTTTTCACAGGACTGTGATGAATACTTCACGCGTGAGGATGTGGCAGAGAATGAACAGGAGGATTTACTGAGCAACTCCGTGACAATTCAGAGTGGGGGCTATGTGATTCTTTTTTCAGGAAAAACGATTGAGTTTTTAAAAGAATGTGGCAATAAGGAACTCTTTGTAAACTTCAAACGAGTGTTATTGCATGCCTCTACAGTCATTTGTAGTCGTATGGCACCAGAGCAAAAATCTTTTGTTGTGCGAACTGTGAAGAAAGCAGGTCATGTGACGTTGGCTATTGGGGATGGTGGAAATGATGTGTCTATGATCCAGTCTGCCCATGTGGGTATTGGAATGAGAGGAAGAGAAGGCACTCAAGCGACAGCAGCTTCTGATGTCGTTGTGTCTCAGTTTTGCTTCTTGTCCAGATTGCTTTTGTTTCACGGTCACACAGCATACCAGCGTTCGGCGATTATTGTACAACAAAGTTTTTGGAAAACCGTTGCTTTAGCATGGATGCAATTACTCTTCAACATATACACGAAATTTTCTGGTGTTTCTTTTTGGGATTCTTTTTCACTTATGATGTACAACTCGCTTTTTACTGTCCCCGTGACTTTTCTCTGTGCACTGAATATACCACTTTCAGCTTCCGTGCTTCTCAACAACCCCCAGCTGTACATCCTCTGTCAGAGGGGTAGGTATTTGAACATGGTAACTTTTTATGGATATGTTTTTAGAGGATTCCTGCATGGAACGATTATCTTTTTCCTTGCGTTCGGTTTTCTCAATGACAGTTCCAGTGGAGTCATGCGGTTTGGTCACCCAATGGACCGTGCGTGCGATTTTTATGTGAGTTGCTTTGCTTTAGTGACGCTTCACTCATGCATCATCCTGCTGGAGACGCACTACATCACATTCTTTCATTGGTTGGCACTAATATGGTCAGTGGTGGCGTTGTTTTTGTGCCTTTCGTTGTATGGATTACTCTCTGAAAATCATTCCCTCTTGGAGCTTTTGAGAAATGCATCTTTTTATTTGCAGTGGAATATTGTGGTGGCAGTACCTTTTATTTCCCTGTCCGTGTATTCGGCAATTAAGCTTTTTTTCTTCCCAGATGTTCTGCAACTTCAACGACTTATCATTCATAAAATGTCGAAAGTCCCGTTTCTCTCTGGTTTGTGGCCATTTTGGGTAGATGAAAACCCCTCCCGATTTTGGGGGTCCTTCTCGGTGCGTCACTGGTGCCGCGACAAGAGTCGTACCCCTTGTGGCTCCCAATCCGTAGGCGGGATCACTAGTCTGGACATGCAGGCACAAATTAATGCCGAAGACTATTGTGGCGAGCCCCACATTGTAAAGATGGCTTTGGATACAGTTCGAGATTCCACGGCTCTGTCGGAGCCCTTTATCAAGAGAGTGTAGGGCACTCACAACAAGTGTTGGCCTTCTAAAAATGAAAATGAAATGAGACTCTATACGCATGCGTGTGTGCCTGAGTGAGGAGGATAGAAAGAGTTACGTGAACAACGATAGGAATGGGAACCATATGAGGGGAATATTGTATTTATAATCGCAGGGTGTTTTACCTTTTTGTGCTGCTTTTGTGTGTGTGTGTGTGTTTTTTACCTGTTTTGGAGTGAATTCTTTTTTTTTTTCCTTTTTTATATTTACTTTGGAAGGCTATGGAGAAGCGAAGGTATGACCAGAAGTGGCCCATAAAATAGCGCTTCGTCGTCTAATAGCTCCGTTTCTTTATTTATGAATTGATTTCTTTTTGTTTGTTTCCTTCACAGTGTTACCGCGCATTGCAATGTGGCGAGGGTGTTTTTGTTTTTCTGTGTCATCCGGAATTTCCTTGATTTTCCGCGTGGAGAGGACGCTGGAAGTTGTGGAGCCCTAAACGAGTGCTTATTATTGACTTTACGACGAGGTCGGCTATCGTAACATGCGGCCTTTGAAATGAATATGTTTATCTGTTTGTTTATTTGGAATGATTCTTATAAAAAGCGGTTTTTTTTTTTTTGGGGAAACATTGGACTAAACTGTCATATCCCCACTATTGTGCATAATCTTTATGGGAATAGAGCCTCATGGAGGCGGATATTTTTTACTCTTTTCTTTTTTTTTTTTTATTATTATTCCCTTTTTGTGGTTTATAACACGTGCCGTTTTAATGGGGGAAAAAAAAGAAAAAAAAGAAAAAAAGAGGATAAGGGGAGACTTCAGCGTCTTCTTTATTTTTATAGATTTGTTAAGAATGACTGAACGCGTCCCGGTGCGGCCAAAAAAGAACGCATTGACGTTTTTAGTTGTTGCCGCAGTTGTGTCTGTCTACGCAATAGAGTGGGTGGAGGTGGCGGCGGCGGGTGATGCAGCGAAGGGGAAGGACGAAAATGACATGGACGAGGTGCAGTGGGCCTATTTGGTTTTTGCGGATTCCATCCTTCTTCTTTTTGCTGCCCTTTTTGCCGGCTTGACGCTTGCCATCATGGGCCTTGACACCCTGTCTCTTGAAATCATCGCGGACAGCGGCTCCGAGCCCGACAAGACGTATGCTGGCAAAATTTTGCCGATACGTCGACTGGGCAATCAGCTTTTGTGCACATTGATATTTGGTAATGTTATGGTGAACACGCTGATTGCACAAATCACGGATTCTCACATTCATGGATGGGTAGCGACTATTGTTTCAACGGCCTTGACAACCGTTGGAGGGGAAGTTATTCCACAGGCTCTAATGTCTGCTCATGCTTTGCAAGTAGGAGCGAAAAGTGTTTATCTTGTGAATCTATTTGTAGTGCTCTTTTACCCCGTGTGCAAGCCGCTTAGTATCTTCCTTGACCATTTCATTGGAACCGATCCTGGGCAAATATACGAGCGCAATGAGCTCAAAAAGCTAATGTTTATGCATGCTGCTCACGGTTCCGAGTCGGGTTTGGGTGAAAGGGAGGTGGATCTCATGGTAGGCGCAATGGAGCTTCATGAGAAGACAGTAATGGATGTTGTGACACCCATTTCGGATGTCCTTATGCTCGAAGCAAGTGAGCCATTGAATGAGGAGACGATTCAACTCATATCCGAACGCGGTCATAGTCGTATCCCAGTGTACCAGAGGAACAAAAATAATATTATTGGCGTTCTCTTTGCAAAAGACCTTTTAATGATTGACCCAAGAGAGAATACGCCAGTGTTGTTATTGGTGAAATTCTACAATCGGCGTTGTCATATTGTTCCTTCAGAAACGAAGCTTATATCGATGCTTAAATATTTCCAAACAGGGAGGTCTCATATAGCTTTGGTCCAGGAAGTACAGCAACGGTCTTATGGGGATCCATACTACGAGGTAAAGGGACTTGTCACTATGGAGGATGTGATTGAAGAACTTATTCACAGCGAAATATTTGATGAATACGACATTGATCCACATCACTCGTTCGCTGGGTCTCAACTAACTTCAAAACGGCAAGTAGGATTAAACCCAAGGTGCTCACGCCGAGTCAATCTAAGTGCAAACCAACTCAAGGCATCTGCATTGTTTCTATGTGAATCTATTCCAGATCTTAATTTTTATGCGCGGGATGTAAGTTCCTTTTTACCACAAGCCATTAGTATACACGGAACCGTTTACAAGGTTCGTCCTCCCGCCGATGCACGTGGACTTGAACAGGACGATAAGGCAAATGTTTGGCTTTATCGCAGTGGTGTACCTTCCGATACCTTTACGTTGATCATCACTGGCAGAGTGGAGGTGTTTGCTGGAAAGGAGGAGATCAGATTGGAGCTTCCAAGTTGGTCACTTGTCGCCGCAGAGGCTCTCACAATGGAGTCGTATGTTCCAAACTTTAGCTGCCGAGTCGTGAAAGACAGCACCCTCATGCAGATCACTCATGCGGCCTTCCAAAAAATATTGTCTATGCTGAGTGATGGTCAATCTTCAGGTTTTTGCAGGTTCCAAAAGTCAGTTTGCTTCTGTTGATTCCCATTAAATCCACTGTTTTTTCCTCATTAAGGGTATCAAGCAGAGGACACAAACAGGAAAAAAAGGGATTTTTTTGGTACGGGAGCAAAATTGCAATGGACGTTTTTTTCCACACCCTTCGCGTATGGTGTGGCAATCTGCGGTACCGATTTGCACTTTTGTTGTTGTTGTTGTACGCTTCTCCTTGTTGTTGCTTTTTCTAGACACAGCTCGGCCGCCTTATCGTGACGCCAGGGCCAATTGCTACGTGTTGTCGAGGGAAGTCAGGAGCCAGCAATTTTTCCCTCACGGGATTGTGGTTATTGGCACAGGAAATAATGGCATCCACCGGCGCCCGGACCAGCTGCTTGTTGTCGGGGAGGGGGGGGGCATTTATTTGAGAAAAAACGATGCAGTAGTAAAAAAAGAAAAACAAACAAAAAAAAAAAAAAAACGGGCACAACCGAAATTGACGGTTCGGCGAGAAGCGAAGAAAGGAAGAAAGAAAAAGGGTTACGCAAAATTGCTTGTAAACACCAATAACAGAAGAGGTGAAAAAAAATTGCTTAGGGGGGTGACAGATGCAGCAAACCTGAAGTGCAGGCAGTGAAAAGTATGGGATCCTAGACGTGGGAACTCATTGCTTATTGAATCAGCAGGATAAAAGAGTCTCCGAGGAGAAACATGTGTATCACCACAAGAAAAGACTCTTTGGGTTTATATTTCTCCTTTGCTCGCTTTTTCTCTTTATGTTTCTGTATGCATATACATCTTATTGCCTGTGGTGGAGAACAGGGGAGCGTGAGTCCTTTTTATTTTTTTTGTTATTGTCACTTTTACGTCTCTTCTTTTTGTGTGTTTCTCTAATTACAAGCGTGAAGTGGACGTTTGAGTGATGGGGCTGATCCATCTGGAAAACCTGGAGCAGTGCCAAGATGAATGGAGACGCAAGACGGAGGCTCGAGTCAATCAAGAGACACTCATGGATCCCCCAAGACTGGATTCCCCCCGTTCCTTACGTGCATGCGCATTGTGTGGCATCGATCCTGCCACCTCGCTGGAGTCGCTCTCTCTTCGTCAGCACTTCGAGCAGGTTGTGAGCGGTGCACCTTGGGTTGACCGGAGTGTTTCCACGAGTGTCAGAGCCCAAGACGCATTGAATGCATGCGAGGAGTCGGGAATTCTTACAGGTTCCACACAACAGAAGATGCAAGCCTATAGTAATTTTTTGCGTTACGAGGAGAATCGTAGAGATGCACTTATGTTGGCGCAGGAGCTTCGTCGACAGTTGATTGCGGAGGAGATCTTTGAGCGACGACGGAGGGTGCATGTTGACCGTGGCAGCGGACTTGTTTCTTCTCTTTGTGAATTGGGCTCTGAGAGTCGACTGGAGCACGACGTCCTGCAAGTTTCATTGCGGCCCAATGGGGGTACGCTTGCCGCAGAGGCGTGGCCTGTGCCTCCCAGTGGCGGTACCGCGATGGTTCCAATGGAACCGAAAAAACAAGCAAAAGGAAAGGAGTGGCAGCCTCTGGAGAGGAGATGGTTGGGCAGCCCACCAGATGAAAATACAACAGTCAGTGCCGCCGCAAAGGGTACTCTGACGGAGACGGCATTAGAGGATGATCACAAATCCATGAGAACTGCAGCAGCAACCGTGGCAGGGACGGCGGTAGAGGCGAAGGAGGTGCAGATACTAGAGGAGAACGCGCCACCGGCGCCACCCATTTCTTCCCGTGAACAGGACGAGGTGTTTTACTACTATTGTGCAAATGCCATGGTTACAGGACGGATTTCGAAGTGTCGTGAAAATAGTTTTTTTTGAACGCTGAGGCGGATGCGCAGTCACTTGCCGCTGCAGTCCGCTTGCACACTCTGGAGTGGTTCCAAAGAGAGCCACGCACTAAGAACGAGAATCAAGGAAAAGAGAGAGATAGAGGACAAATAGAGGGGTGATGTTGGAAACGCCTGGAGAGTTTTTGTGAAACGCAGCGGATTTGCCATTAAGCACCATTGTGGCCTGAATTCTTTGCCTCTTTTTCTTTATACTTGTATTTTTTTCTTGCTTTTGGTTATTTAGTTACTTTGTGTTTGAATTCATCTATAGATTTTTTCCATGTTCTTTGCGTTTTTTTTTTTTTTTTGTTGTTGTTGTTTTTTCGTCATTTGTTTGCTTCTTTTTTTTTTCTTTTACTGCTTGTGCTAGTATGCTGCAAATAGAGTGAAGGAGAAGAGGTGAAAGGGGGGAAGAAAAAATAGATAGAGAAGTCACCCTTCATTGTCGACACGTTCTTTTTTTTTTTATTTATTTATTTTTCGCGTGTGTGGGGAAAATAGCGGTTGAAACGAATGAATTTTGACAATGGCCATTTGTCGGTGATTGAAGGAGCAGAACGCATGATGTTCCGCCTTGACGAGATTGATGAACTCATGCAGTGTAGCTCCGATGGCGAGCAGGACGCCATTACAACGCACCTCAACGGTGAGATGGACCTGCATAGTGTTCTGGCGGGACACGAGGCGGAACTTTCCGCTCTGCGTGAGGATTTTATTCAGGCTCATGTCGATGAGGCGGAGAATATCTGCTCCCTGTACATGGAGTTTGTGGAGTGCGAGAAGAAGTTGGTGCAGTTTGAGGAAGAAATTATTGCCTTTCAGCGTCGTTTAGCGGATTCGGCAGATGATATGGTCAAAATGCAGCAGCAGACCGTTTCCCTTGTACGTAGCATCAACAATCGGCGTCTGGGAAGCAGCAGGCTGAGTGAGGTGTATAAGGTCCTGCAGGAATGTGATACCTTTTGCGATGCCATTGCACAGAAAGACGTCGATGAGAAGTACCTGGAAAACATCTCAGAATTGGAGAAGAAGTTATCTTTTTTTTCATCCAACAAGGAGCTGGAGGGATCGGCTGTGGACTTGGAGACACGGCCGCGCTTACAGTCAGCTGCCATGCGAGCTGGTGATAAGCTACTGCGATATTTTGGCAAAAAGATTTTGGCTTTGACGGAAGCGGAGGATTTGGCGAGCATCGAGGGCCAGCAGCAGTCTTTGGTGGAGACGGGTCGAAATGCCATTGGGTTCTTGAAGAGTTACAATCAACCCATTGCCGAGGCAATTTTTCAGGATTACGCAAGGCGCATGTCGGAAGTTTTTGCTCGTCATGTTCGTGCTGTGTTGCACGATTTTGGTGAGCTGTGTGTGGTGAATGCCAGCAGCATGGATACCATCATAACTGCGGATGATGTGCATGATGTAATGTGCAATCGGGATGTCGCTTCTCCAAAAGGAAACCACGTCACTGTGGCAGCACAGGAGATAAAATTTCCCGTGCAGCCTTTTCCACGTCGCGAACGAAGTGTCTCGCAACACATGCGTACTTTTGCTGGTCGAATGCTGAAATCAGAAAGGCCCATCAAGACACGGGAAACGACAATTTACGACACCCTCGCGGCATTGAGTACAATGAGGATTCGGGATGAATCCTTTTCTCTGGATGCGGCTGCGGCGCTTCCACTGGAAAATGTGGGTTGTTGGTCATGGCATTTCCTACGCTGTGTGCATCTTATTGCCAACCTTTGCGTCACGGAATGTTGGTTTATCCGGCAGTTTTTTTTTTCTTCTTCGACAGAGGACGAATTTGAGAGAACAGAGACACTTGTGCGTCTCGTGTTGGGGAATGCAGTCGATGTTGCCTACAACACCATTCGAGAGGACCTGCCGCTTGTGACGGACCGTCAAAGTGCTCTCGCCGGTCTTCGTATTGTTGACATTGCCAAAATGCATTTGTGTCTTTTAAGTAACCCAGTGCCTCTTCTTCTTTTTAGCGGCGTTATGGAGTTGGTCAAGAAAACATTGTCGGACACGCTGCATAGCGTCATGGCGAATGATCTGAAATCAACTCAGTTCCTAACGTCATTAGAGCTGTCACCCTTTCAGCGTGTTCCAAATGGCAGTAAAATGAGTTTGAACAAACTGCTCGAGGACCGGAATTACGCCTCAACACTCGGTGTACACCCCATCGTACGGCGGTTCAGTCAAATTGCCGGGGAATTGGAGTTACTGAACTCCGCTTCTCTTGAAGGATCCATGGTAAATGGCGCGGATGTCATGGTGTATGATCCGGCTGTCTCAAACGCCTTGTATCGCGAACTGGAGAACGTTCTGGAATTTATTTCAGTGCTTGCAAAACGGCATAAGAACATACTGGCGCAGCGTATATTTGCTCTTAACAATTACTTTTACATACAAGCATCGTGGCGACGATTGTCAGGCGCTTTAAAATCTGTTGTGGGAATGGAACAACTTCCATGCGCAGCACCACCTGCACATGTTAACTGCATTGAGAGCCGCCTTTCCAATGAAGTTGTGCGTTTTGTCGATGAAGACTCGAAGGCAAACGGAACCTTTGCCTATCTGTTTGACTTTGTCCAAATGGCGGAGGCCACATTGGGGAACGCCTTCTTTACAGATGATGGGCTAATGGAACGATCTATAGGTCCACTGCCAGATGCTTTGAGCGAAGCTGCAACGATGCAGGCGGTTTTGGATTTTAGTCAAAGTTGGCAGGCGCAGTTTTCAGAGACCTGCAGTCTTGTGAAGCGAGTTGTCAGTTTGACACTGACGGTAGCGGCGGCGGCAGCAAAAGACGAAGTTGCATTGGATTCCAGCAAGAAGCTGGAGGAACTTATCCTCAAGGAATACACACAAAGTGTTGTAGAGGCGAACACAAAGATGCATCTCGTTGTTACACGCCTTTTTGGAAAAAATAATGAGATGCGCGCGCGACTGACAAGCAACGCGACGGTTTTGCATGAGGTAAAAAAAGTACTCCGGTTTTTATAGCGAATATGCTCCCCCTACACACACACACACCATCAAAGGAGAGAGGAGGAAAGAAAAGTGCTAAAGAAGATTAGAAATGGAACGGAATGAAGTTGGAAATTTTCTCCTTTCTTTTTGTTTTATATTAGGTTTCAATAATTTTTACTATTTTTTTTTTTTTTTTTTTTTTTTTTTTCTTTTTTTTTGGGAGGGAGGTGGGTTTTATTGTGTGCCGTGTGATGATTTCAATATGCCGCTCCTTTGCACCTCAATTTCCTCTTTCTCTCTTTTTTTCTACATGTTTGTGCTGAAGAAAAAGAAGGAATTAATAGTAATACTAAAGGGAGAGTAGAACTCCGATGCATGAGGGGGCTGAAGCGGGAGCAGAGGTGCTGACTGTTCTCTACGGGACGCAGAGCGGCTGTGCTGAGCATCTGGCGTTTACCCTTACCTCGCTGGCCTTGAAGCGGGGGTTTAAGCACTGTCGCTGCCTGCCTGCCGATGAATTTCTTCTGGAGTCATGGAAGGATTCATCTCCACTGGTGATCATCTGTTCCAATGCGAGTCAGGGAGAGGCGCCAGATTCGATTCGTGTCTCGTGGTCGAGACTTTTGGAACCGACAGCACCATCTATGGAAGGGTTGCGCTTTGCAGTATTTGGTGCAGGTGATTCCCTCTACCAAAAGTTCAACTACATGGCCAAGATGCTTCACAATCGTATGAAGCAATTGGGGGGTGAGCCGATCATCAACCGAGGCCTTGGCGACGAAAGTGATGCCAAGGGACATGATGAGGCCTTTTTTCCATGGATTGTGCAGCTCTGGAGGGCGTTGGGACGGTTAAATGTGGACGAACCCGGCCAAATCACTGAAGACTTCTTTAAGTTTCCTCTTCTCACAAAGTATAATGTTTCGTTTATTGAAGACTCTGTGGCATCCGATGCCATTTCCCAGAAGGCTCTTTACAATGAGGAGACTTTTAATTGTGTTGTGAAGCAGAATGTCCGCCTTACGGCGAAGGATCATTTCCAAGCAATACATCATATGGCATTTTCCCGGGTAGTTACTTTCCTTGAAGGGGCTGTGGAACGAAGCGACCCTCTTTCATTCGAGGTGGGTGATGCGTTGGGTATTTACTGCGCCAATAGTGATGCAGTGATCGACAGCTTTCTTGCGCAAACGCAATTAAGTGGCGATGTGGTGATTTGTGTGACTCCGAACATCTCGGAGGGTCTTATTCAACAGCGTTCTCAGCCCTTTTTTGGACGTCCTATGAGACTTCGATTCTTTTTGATGCATTATGTCGACTTAGAGGCTGTGGCGAGTCGCTCCTTCTTTAGCATGTTGGCACGTTTTGCAGGGGATGACGAAGAAGTCCGAGAACGTCTATTTGAGTTGGCTTCGTCGGATCATTTAGATGATTTTATGTCATACTCTCATCGAGAAAAAAGAAATGTCGTGGAGGTTTTATCCGACTTTCGACTCGTTCGACCACCGCTTTCTTTTTTACTTAGCTTCATGCCTCCGATGCGCCCACGTATTTTTTCCATCTCTTCTTCGCCCACTTTTGATGTTTCAGAGATTCATCTCACGGTTGCCCAGTTGTCGTGGCAAACACCCCTAAAGCGCAGCCGCAAAGGGGTTTATAGCTCTTATCTAGCCGCCGCCGTGCCTGGGGATTTTTTCACATGTTTTCTTTGGCGTGGCTCCCTGCCCCTGCCTTCCAAGCCGGTTCCGTTGATCTGCGTGGGCACAGGGACCGGCATTGCACCTCTGCGTTCTCTTATCCGTGAATGTGCGGCTGCGGGAAGCATCTGGAGCGATGTTCCTTTGCTTCTTGTTTTTGGTTGTCGCCACGAGGGGAAGGACTACATCTACTCGAATGAATGGAGCGAGCTGAGTAAGGATCGCTTAAAAAAACTAACGGTGTTGCCGGCTTTTTCTAGGGATGGGGATAAAAAATTTTACGTGCAACACCAGCTTGGTCGTCATGCAAGGCGTGTGGCAAAGTTGCTGGACGAAGGGGCTTATATTTACGTGTGTGGCAATTCCACCCCGATGCCCAAAGATGTGGCAATGACATTTGACGAAATTGGCACTCAGTGTTGTTGTTGTGGGAACGAATTGCGAGGTCAAGAGTACATGAAACAGCTCCGGAAACAAGGTCGGTACATGGTGGACTCGTGGTCGGCGTGATGCGACTGAGAGTTTGGCCTTTTGTCAAGGGATTTAACGGCCGCCTAACGCCTTATTTCACAGAAATTCGCATACATACCTATATTTACAAACAAGGCTATTGTTTCTTTTTTTTGTTTGTTTTTGTGTATCTGTGTCTGTGTGTGTCATTGTTATTATTTCACATCTTTTATTTTTAATTTAACGTGCGTGATTCTATTATATATATATATTCCCCACTGTTGTTCCGTGCAAGATGTTATTCTTTGACTCCCGCTTTTTCTTGTTTATTCCCCGACCCCCCTTTTGATGTGTGGTTTCTCTTGTTAATTCTCATGCTTCTGAGGGGCTGTAGGCGCGGCGTGAGCGCAAGGCGATGGGTGATAATTTGGCCGCGTCCTCCTCTGCCCAACTTGTGGCAACCGTCAGGCATGAAAACATGCAACTTCAGAAGCAGTTGACGGAGGCTTGTCACGAAAATCGCACCCTTCGGAAGCAGCTGTACCACCTGAGCGCCCTGCTTGACATTGCGGTCAACAAGTTGGCAACGAAGGGTATCACCTTGGAGACCCCTGTAGGTATTCGCGAGTTACGTGCGGCCGTCTCTCGCCGTGACTTGATTGACACAACATCGGAAGTCATCGATGCAAACGATCTTGGATATGAAAATGTAACGAAGCAAAACTCTTCTAACCGCCGCTTTCAACTTCGTCGTGAGCTTCGGGAGCATACGAGGCCCGTTCAGTGCGCGGCCTTTGCTCCAGGCGACCGGCCCATCCTCGCCACGGGTGGGCTTGACTGTCATCTTATTTTACAGGATTTTTTGACAGGGGAGAAGTTGTGCGACATTAAAGGACATGAACAAAACATTGCGGACGTGGCATGGTTTGAGGGAAGTGGAGACCTCCTGTCCGCATCGTTTGACAACACTGTCAAGGTGTGGGACACTCGTCAGGCAAGCGGCAGTCTGGCGCCCAGTTACCAATTTACAGCGAGTGGGTTTGTTTTGGCGGCGGTCCCATTGGACAAGGCTTTTGTATTTGCATGTACGGATTCAAAGAGACGCACCTCCATACTGGACCTGCGGGTTCAAAAGCCCATATCATGGGAACACGATGTGCGAGCCAATGCTTTGGCATTTAATAGTTACAGGGCAAATCTGATTACCGGACACAACAATGGTACCATATCCGTATGGGATCTGCGTAAGATTGGCCTTGCTCTCTCCTCGACACCTTCGATGGAAGAAGGGAAAACAACGAGTAGCGTGCCGGTAAATTCATCGGCATCGGTTGAGGAATCTCCTGCAGTGTCTGTTCCACGTGTTTCTATGATTGAGAATGAGCCGTCGCGGAGCGCCATTACGTATCTTGGTTACTATCATAATAGGGATGACTCCAGGCGGCTCCTGGTGGTGTCTGCCGACAATATGGTACGGTTGTACCGAGGGGCCAGTCTAAACGCATCCTCCAGTGATGCCATTTCACTTCGAAATATTGTTGGAGGAGTTCCAACTCGTGGATTTACCGTTAAGGCGGCATTTTGGAAGGGTGTGAGGAAGAAGACAAACGTGTCTGCTTTTTTTGATGATGGCGAGCGGGAAAATGATCCACAGTCACGCCGATTGACGGAATGTGATCTTTTGGTGACCCCTGGTGCAGAGAACACAGCTTGCATTTATGATGTCACAGAAGAGGGTGGAGCCATATTAGTAGAAAAACTTGAAGGTCACCGGGAACGCGTTGTCGGTGCCGCAGTTCACCATGCAGACAGTAAGCCCATCATTGCCACTTACAGTGCTGATAACACCGTGAAAATGTGGGCCCCAGTGAAGAGCTAGAGCGCATGCAAAGAAGATCCCTGCGTTTTTTTTTTTATTTCTTTCTTGGCTGGGACTAAGCAGCGTTATTCTTTTTGTTGTTGTTGTTGTTGATTTGGTTTAGTCCTTTTAAGAGATCATGTTTGGCGTCTAAAATGCATTTGTATGTGCTTGTGTGGTAAGTGGGTGTAGGTTTGTTTCCCATCTTTGATGTCGCAAAAAAAAAAAAAAAAAAGAAATGTAAGGCAAACTCTGCAACCTTGCCTTGTTTGTTTGAAGTTTTTTTTTTTTTTTTTGTGTGTGTTGATGCTGACGGGGAAGAAGACTTGTTGTTTGGGTTTTTTTTTCTTGTGTTTCGGTGCCTTTGCCCTACACGCACTTCCGCACTTGTTCCCCTTTTACCTTCCCGTTGAAGCACGAGGGAGAATGCGGTCTATGGGTGCTGCTGCGCCACCCATGCAGCACAGAGCTCTTTTGTTCCACGGCCACTCGCGTTCTGCCGAGGAGCAACTGGCATTCCATGACAAGTATCATGACCGCATGGCGCGGTTTACCGGCGGCGGGACAGGCGACAAATACGCTTTGAGGGGGCGAGATGAATCTAACGGGGAGTTTCGCGGGCAGGCTCCCGATTACTGGGCGGAATATGCGAGGAAACTGGAGAATTTGGGGCTCCCACGTGGCGGCGTTGGCGTTTCGCATGTGGAATTTGAGGCGGAGACGAAATCACCGCCACCAAGTGGAACGTTAGACTCTCCTCCCGATACGCGTTATTCGCCTAGGCGGTGGGAAACGTACTCGGCGACGAAATCTCCGGCAAGATTGCCGGAGGAGAGCGTTCTGCATCGTCTGGATTGGCTGGCGCATGAAAGGAGCGAGCCAGATGCCACCGATGTTATTAATTTGCTTCGAGATGTTGAGGACGTGCTGGTCCGCGAGGAGTCACAGAAACGCGATGAAACGCATGTTGAGGAAAATTCTCAGCCCACCGGCATCGATTCCTCAAGCTGGCTGCCCGCATCTCGTATAAATGACCCTGGACGGCCCATGGGAGTTCCACCAGCTCCTCCTTTTCCCACAACGGCTGCGACCACCGCGAACAACACCAACAACAACGTGGATACAAATCTCACCGGTAATAGTCGTTACCGTACTGCGCCACCGGCGACTACCCCGACGGCTGCTCCCTCCTTTCAGCATTTGTCGCCAGGTGCATCGCCAGCACCACCGTCAAGAGGAGCGGATTGGAGCCAGATGTCAAGATACCAACAGATGGAGTGGTACCGCACTTACTACGCATGGATGATGTACTATGCACAGTACTACGGCTCTGTTCTCGCCTTTCAGCAACAACAACAAAAAATGGAAAAGGTTCCACAGAAAAACGCAAACAACGAGTTGACGAGCCTAAAAGAACTAAGTAGAGAATATAAAAAATTGGCATTAGAGGTTGAGCGTCTTAACCAGAGCTTTCGGAGCCATGCGCCTGTAAAGAAAAGCGTTTCCACCCAATCGGCTCTTGGGAATGAATTGAAGAGCAAAGGACGACGCCGATCATCACTTCCACATGCTGGAGAAGATGAGTATACACTCTACCGCTCGGAACACGGTCACTCTTTTCTTCATGGTGCTCCTACTCATACCTTTTCAGCTTCACAGGATGATAATGGCCGCGCCGCTACTCCGGAACGTGCTGCGACCGCAGCTTCCAGTGGGGGAATTCGTTCGAGGGCTGTTCCGCACCGAAAGTCTTTGAATGAGAGGGAAAACTTGACGCATGGCACCCCAAAATCGAACGAGTCAGAGAACGGAAAGGCATTCTATGGCCGACAGTCTGAAATGCCTTGGCTTTTGCCGCGGCGACATTCACCCGAGGAATACCAGACCTCTGTTGCTCCTCGGCCAACCTACCGTGACATCTCGTGGCTGTATAAGTACGAGGAGAGTGAGACGGAAGAGAAATCGCAGTCTGGCACCGAAGAGGGGGGGAATTGGAAATACGATGACGGAGAAAGAGATTCAGACCTCCCTGTGAGTGAAGGAAGGCGTATGCCTCCCAGTCATAACGTTCGGGGACATGAACGGCGTGGAGAGAGGCGCTCGTCTGTCTATGAGAGAAAAAAAAGAGAGTTAGAGCGAGAGAAACCGCGTTGGTGTTTTTGAAACAAAGGAGCACTGAGGAATAGAGAAGATGACCAACAGGCGAACAATATTAAGGTGGCATTCACCACTTCCGTTTGGCTGGAACAACTCCCTCTTTTAATTCCAGAGAGTAGACACATACACGCTCCTAAAAGAAACTCTGAAAGTAGGTGAATGCATTGTGTGTTTCTGTGTGTTTGTCTGTACAGGGCTGAATGGGAATGGAATTTTTTTTTTTTTCTTTATTTCTCCCGTGGGATTTTTCCTGGAGTGACCGCTCTTTATTTTATTGCAGCTGGTTTTTGTTCCTTCCCAAAATTTGTGTACCTAATAGGGAAAAGTGAATGCCTCCTTTCGCATCCTTCTTTTTTTATTTTTTATTTATTTCTATTCACATGTGTGAATTTTGTTGTTGTTGTTGTTTTTTTCTTTGCAGGGAGGAATAGTTCTTCCAGGAAAACAACATAAAAGGGGGTAAACAGAAGAGAGCGAGATAAACTTCTACTCTATTTCTCTCTACCCGTGTGTGTGTGTGCATACAATTATCTGGAAATGGCGGCGTGGGCGGATGATTTTGATCCCACGCTTGAGGACGGTTTTGCTGACGAAATATCGGCCTCCTTTGAGGGTGGGGCGGATGCCGCTGCAGCAAATGACGATAAGCTGGCCTGGGAGAATGCCAAGACTGTTATTGAGACCGTGACCGACAGCGAGAACAAGCGGTACGAAATCGTGAAGAAAGTCCGCACCTACCATGTGGACCGCCCAGTCACAGTTGTAGATATTCGTGCCAAATGGAAACGATTTGGTAAGAGTGGGGACAACAACCAAGACCTTGTTTCCCGAGATCCTCCCATTGTGTTAGAGCTGGGCGAAATTGACCCATTTGAACGCGTGGCGCGTGATGAAATAGTACGTCTTATGAACGAGGTGGAACGTATGAAGATTGAGGTCACCGACCCTCGCTTGGCCCGCTTTGCAAAAATCAAGGAAGAGCAAGAGAAGGCTGCGCTGGAGGAAACCACACAGACAGATCAGCCAAAGGAGCGTACATGGGCCGCTGCCAGGGGAGAAAAGAGCTCGGCACAGCGCAAAGAAGACACGGATCGCCGTCTTCGCATTACAAACATCTCGGATGACATTACAAGGGAAGAGCTCTACAACATCTTTGACACTAATGAATACAAAATTGAAAAATTATTTCTTCCCAGGGATAATGCAACTGGAAACTACAGGGGTTTTGCCTTTATTACTTTTGAAGATCACGAACAGGCTGAGCGCTGCCTTAAGAAGACAAAGGGTGTGGCGCGATTTAAAAACACGGTTATGCGCATTGTGCGCGCCCTTCCGGAGGCTGAACAGAGGCGACACTGAGTATTGCAACAGGAGATAAAACCGATGTAACTGCATTGTAATCATTTTTAATAGTAACAAGTTCTAAATCAAAGACAGAAAGGAACATTCACGAAAAAAAAAAAAAAAAAAAAGAGTGAAAATAAAATAAATAAGAATACGAATGCGTTTTTTTATTCTGTCTTATATTTTGTGGCTGGAGGAGGTTTATGCTATCGCCTGTTGTGTCGTTTCTCTCAACTGTGAATTGATGATTGTAAAGTCCGATGTTCTTTTTTTTTTTTTTTTTTATTTCTTTATTTCCGCTTTTTGTTGTTGTTGTTGTGTGTGTCAGTGTGTTTGCTCGTTGGGTTAAAAAAACTTATCAGGATACCTGCGTGCGGCATAACACACTTCCACCACCAATGGCTCGATCACCAAATGTGGATTATCTCTCAGATCGCTTCCGGGAAATGTCATTGAATCGCGACCGTTTACTGAATGACGGGAAGAAAACTGAGTATAACTTGGAAGGGCATCAGCAGGCATTCAACTTCAAAAAGAAGGTGGTGGATTCGACGCATGCTGCCCGTAATCCGACGTATTACTGCAGCCTCCGTCGTGAAGGGGACTTAAACCCCAGCCGTTCATTCCCTGAAAGGCGGTCGGAGAGATGTAGAGATGTTGTGAGTGACGATGATCGTCTTCCGTCGTCATTTACGCATTCCTTTTCGCCATTTAGGAAAAATCCCAAAAATGAAAGGGGGAAAGGTGGGAATAATTGCAGACCAAATTGCCGCTGGATTACAGTGCCAACTGACGAGGATCAAAGCCGCGACTCAACTTTTGGTGCCCGCAGACGTTCTCAGCCTGGTGTCACATGGTCCTCCGCTTCTTCCAACTCCTTCTCGCAGGTCCAACCCAGTTTACCTCTTATTGCACTTGTCAATGATGTGGCACGTCGTCGCGGAGTCAGTTCACCGGCAATTCCCACGGAAGTGATTATTGCTTTTGAAAACTGCGTATGTAATGGAACCTCCATGTTGAAATTTGTTTCCCATGACGCCCCGCACGAACGTTTTTTTATGATCAAGTTTCTTGATTTCAAGGTGCATGGAGGTGAGGCTGAACCGGTGCTTTGCTGGTACACAAAATCGCGGAGTTCTACTATGCGATGCTATTTGCCTTTAGCAAATCTTGTTGAAGTGATTGATGGTGGCGATGGCCATCCGGCGGTCCAGAAACGTATGGTGAGACCGGGTGTGATTAAGGGATCCGCTGTTAACTTGAACGCGAATTATATGGGAGCAGATAACATTCTCCAATGGCGTTTTAGTTCCTCTAAAGATGAGGAAAAAATAGTGGCTGTAAAATTACTGTGCAAGAAGTCTTACGTCGCGTGGCGTATAGTTACTGATTTCTTTAGTAAGATTGGTTCTGTTTTGATGCCGGTAATGTAAAAAAAAAAAAAGAAAAATCAGGGGAGGACAAAAAAAAATAAATAAGAGGTTGTGGGGGGGAGGGGGGCAAAGATGGTGATTTAGGATTTTTGCTCTTTTCAATTGATGCACGGAGAGATTTTATTTTTACTTTGGTATTATTATCGTTGTTTTTCTGCATCGTAGAATGAGCGAGGAGGTGTCTGTGTCAGGGTGGCTCTTGCAATAGAGAGAGAGTTCCCGTTCTACCGATTTACATGAACACATCGTGTTGATCTTACTGTTTGTTTGTTTGTTTTGCCTGTATCCAGAATTGATTTTTGTGTACTACTGACTTTTGATTTTTTTCTTTTTTTTTACATACTTTTTTTTTTCTTCTTTGGTCTCTCTCTCTCTCTGTGTGTGTGTGTGTGGGAAGGGGAAGGGGTCATTTGTTTTCGTTGCCAGTGGGGGGGGGGGGGGTATTTTTAATCGCTGAATGAGTGACACGCATCCCATTTTCTCGTCGGGGCATGTACCCTTTTTTTTTTTTTTTTCGTTTTTCTCCCCCCGTAATTCTTATTTTTATTTATTTATGTGTGCAAATGATTCTGTGTTCTCTGTTTCTTGGATCCTTCACTTGTTATTGCCGGCACTTGTCTGGTATATCTGCCCCTTCTTTTCATCCCTTTGTGTCGGCTTGACTGAATCTCACGCACGGCTTTGTTTGGCTAGGGTTATTTTCCAAGGCAATCGAATAGGCGCGCAAAGAAGGGACCGACACAAAGAGAGAGAGGGTAAGCGTATACGAAGCAAAAAAAAAAAAAAAAAAAAACATTTGCGATATCACCCGATTAGTGCTGCAGTGATTTATTCTTTTTTTTTTTTCTCAGTTTAGACCCCGCCATAGCCATCCTTTAGAAGGGTTTAAGTAATCAAACATTCTTTTCATTATTATCTTTTCTCCTTATTGTGGGGGAGTTTGCGCGCCACGGGAAGGGAGAAGAAAACAATGACAGCGACAACAACAACAGCAACAACAACAAAAATGATGCTTGGAGCGAAATACAACGAACTGAGGGATTATCTGCGTACTCCCCTTGGGCTTATCATATTCTATGTATTTATGAACAGCCTGGCCACATCGATCTGGATGAGAAATGCTTGGACTCCTCTCATCTACCAGGTTTTTGGTAACAGTAACCTGTATGTTGGATTTATGTCGGCTTTGAATGGCACATCTCAGATGCTCTGTGCCATATTGGGGGGTCATTTGTCGGATAAAGTGCTTGGTCCGTCACCCACATTAATTCTTGCACTGCGTTTTGGTACGTTTTCATTGCTTTTTAATCTTGTCTCCGTATGGATTTCCAATGTTTACATTTTGATTGTTGCCCAGGTCCTCTACGGCTCATACTTGGGTGTGAGTATTACGTCGGTTGAATCTGTTTTTGCGCAGTGTATCAAACATGGTGAGCGGGATCGTGTATACGGCGTCAAATTCAGCTTTGAGTCATCGGGTCCTGTTGGGGGTCTTGTGATTACTCTCATTCTTTTTGCCCTTTTTGGAAATGCCTGGCGTGTTGACGTGTTACGCTGGGTCATTACAGCCGGGATTGTGTTGCATGTTACCTCGATACAGGTGTTTTTGGCCTTCTTTAGGCCGCTTCCAAGTAACGCAGACGGCAATCCGGATAATGCCTGCACAGTAGAAGCGAGTGAGATGGATGCGCCAGGGGAGTACGAAAAGGAGGAGTCACGTTCCCCACATATTGACGAAGAAATTTATGTTTGCACCGCAGAAGTTGTTGCTGCCTCCGTTCCAGGAACCCCAGAGACCACGAAGCCAAAGGCGGATAGGCAATTCCCCAATACGTCTCAGCTTGAAAGCAGCGTGGAGGAAAGAAATAAAAAAAGAGGCTTTCTGACGCTTATCACGATTCCTTTGGAAAAGTACCCTTACGTGGTTGCCTTGGCCGATTTGGTCGTTACCGTGGGAAGTGGCATGACGACACAGTACTTTCCGCTTTTTATGATGAATATTTACTTTATTTCACCAATGGGATTATCAACACTTGGTCTCCTGATTGCCTTATTAATTTCTCTGCTTGCCATCGTGAATTCCCGCTTGGGAAGTAAGATTGGAAGAGCGCGGGCAATTTTTCTCCCAAAACTAGTGGGAACTTTTATCTTGTTGTACATGGCCCTTGCACGAGGGACTAGTGTGGGGCCCAAATGGCTTATGTGCATTGCATACGTACTGCGAATGAGCCTTATGAACTCTACTCTTGCTCTGAGTAGAGCCCTTATCATGGATTTTGTATCAGAAAAGCGTCGGGGTATGTGGAGTGCTGTAGAGTCCATTCAGACTGCATCGTGGTCTGGTACGGCTCTCGTGGGTGGTTACGTGGCAGATAAACTGGGTTATGGTGCGGCATTTATTGTGACTTTTGGTTTCCACCTCACGGCATGCACGATGCTTCTTCCTTGTACGGTAAAGAATGACACTGTGGCAGCAGCAAAAGCCTCGAAGGAAGACCCAATGTCCGAGGATAATGAAATGACACATGTGCATAAAACAATACAGAGCAGCCCAGTTTCGTCCAGTGACGACGATGTTGTGGTGCAAAACATGGATATACAAGAAGGAGAACAAATAATAGTTGCCTAGGACTGAAAGGGAGTGCCGGTAATAGATTTAAAATCACAAGATTGCACCATGATTACGTGGGATTCTTGGTGATATTGCAGTTGAATGATCGAGCGATTTTCTTTTTTTCTCCCCCTTTACAAGTAGTCTTTTTTTTTTTTTTTTTCTGGGTTTTGTTGTGGCGCGTCCTTTGTGCTTCACTCCATCACGTGAGGTTTAAATTTTTTTTTTTTTTTTCATTCCTGTCGTAGTTCTCTTATTGTTTGCGATGCGTCTTTATTTACGTTTTTATATTTGCCATTAGAATAAATAACCCCGTCTCTCTCTCTCTTTCCCCCCCGCCGCATCGCTATTAATAATAATAATAATATATTTTATATAATTCTTTCAGAAACAAAACAGAACAAACAAAAAAAGAAGGGGAAAACTGGGAGAAAGCTAAGAATGTTAGGATGGTGCTTATGTGGTTTTATTATTTATTTATTATTAATTTTTTTTTTTTTTCTTTTCAGCTTCGTATTTTTGTGAGCGTCTTTTTCTTACTGCAGTGAGTGCTTTGAGGATCAATGCGATAAAAATTTATGGCTCCGCATGGACGCACCTGAAGAACTTTTTTTGTGGTTTTGTTTATGCGTTTATGGTGCGTCATTTATTTATTTTCCTGCGGCCTGTAATTTCCCTCCATTTTTTTTTTTTTAATTTTAATTTTATTTTTTATTTCTTGGTAGAAAAAAGGGCAGGTTAACTGTTAAACCCCTTTCAATTTTTTCTAGAGCCACACCGATACGAGAGGAGCAAAAAAGAAAAAAAAAAAAAAGAAAAGAAAAGAAAAGAAGGAAATAGGGGCAGGGTCTCTCCGTAGGGAGTAATGCCATTTCGTTTTTCTGTTTTGTTGTGCGTCTTTCTTGTGTTTCTTCTGTGCCCGGTGGTGATCTACGCGCATGCTTCCACTGTGCCGCGGACGGAGAAAAAATACACCATTCATCTTCAGCCACTTACCGAGGGTTTGGGCGACGTGGGCGAGGAGCCGACCCTTGTTTCTGTGACTGAAACAACTTCTCTGTGGTTGCCTCGTGGCTCAGCTGAAGACAATGACGAGCATCTGACTTTTAATGAAGACTTGGATCCCTTTTGGGTACACGTCCTGCGTCGTCGTCGATTTGAGTCGCTAGAGTGGTCGGGCTGCGGAGGGTCATGGCGCCCCGACTGGAGCGTGACACTCCACGACACCAATTCCTCTATCAGTGAAAGCACGAGAAAACTCATTTATGATCTCTCACATCATACCGTGTGTTATTTTTCTGCTCTTTCCGCCTGTGGGTGGACGGGGCAGGAAGGAACGGACGGCTATGTTGCTAATAATTCCGTCAGTCTCGATGTTGAGGCGCAAGGTCATCATCAGTGGTTGGCGCAGCTTGTTTCCTCGCTATTGTCCTCACCGTTGAGTTGGTCTAGGGTGACACCGCGGAATATACGTCCTGTCGGTGTACTTCACCCAGTCACTGGCCGTGTTGGTGCTGCTGCGGGTTTGGGGAACCGTCATTGGTGCTCTTATCATCTCGCCCAACGTGATACGGTGTGCACACAACACGTTAGCGCCATTCTTAGCGGAGGACGCAGCGGAAAAGGTGTTGAGGAAAAAATTCCAAAGGGCATCTTCCGGGCAGGGTTGGTCACAATGCAGGATTTTTTTTCCTCTTCTTTCCATCACTTTAATTTTGGCGTGTCACAGTCGGAAATGCCAGCGGAAAACATGAATGAAGAGACGGAGATCCAACTACTTTTTCGCATGGCGTTTGTTGCTCGAAAGGGCGACTTTGATTTACTTGCAAATCATTGGAAACGGTCGCTTCCCACATATTCCGATCGTCTCATCTTCTTTTATGGGTCCGATGTGAATAAAAAACTTCAGGACGCCATACGATCACTGCCGTCTTCCTCTCATGTTGAGGGCGTCTCTGGAGACAAAGAGGCCTTGAAGAGCGAGAAGCGAAGCTTCAGCTCGGAGCTGGCACCCACAGCTCATTATTACATCTCCAGCGTGGGACACGACCGCGGAACATATCGACTGGTTATACATCCACCGATGAGAAGAACGAACACAATAAGTGCCGATGGGCACCACGAACCGGACCGATGGAATGGATTGAGGGTGGGGGATACATTGGATTCGTTGCTTATTTTCCCTCTCCATGTGATTCGTCCATCTCTTTATGAAATGCACTCGGGCCCAGACGGATCGACAATGTTAGAGAACGCGTTTTTTGACGACAATGCCAATGCTCTTTTGGTATTATTGAAAACTGTACTTACGGAAACTCATGTAAACTTGCTTCATAGAAGTAACAATAACAACGGCACAGCTCCGTATGGTTTTGTTGTTTGTGAATTTCCATTTAGGTTTGGTTGGGCTGCACTGAAAGACATGCCTCATGATGCGAACAGCCATCGAATTCTCCCACAGCCAGTCATTCGCGTTGGTCGACGCTTTGAAAAAACTGAACTTAAAAAATTTGCCGGCTTTCATTCCGCCAATAATAATGGGAATAATCGTTGGTCTGACCGTTGCCTGGCTTCTCAATGTGCTTCTTTTGCCTCAATGCAAATTGATCACCAGGCATCATTAGAGCGCCTCACGGACTCCCTTTTTCGGAATCATTCTCGGAGTGAAATTGGCTCTCCTTGTTTCTGCTACTATTGGCTTCGATGTAGCAATGTTGCTGGCACCACCATCCCTGCCCCTGATCCGGCGATGGTGTTCAATGTCATCTCACTGGGTGTGTTCTTCTCTGGGGTTTTGACGGCCGGTGTAAGTCGTATCACACGAATGATGTTTGACAGAAAGGAAGGACAAGACTTCGGTGAAGAAGGATCCACACGAAACCGCTCGATTGACGTTGAAGAAAAGAAGCAAAAAAAATAGCGACGGGGCGTATTTCCCCGTAGGATCTCGCTGGTATACGGGAGAATATTTCTCTCTTTCACACAATTTCCCCTTTTTTTTCTTTCTTTTTTTCTTTTTCCCTGCGTGTATGCGATGTAAATGGACGATGAGGACGAGGATGTTGAAGGCGAATTGGGTTTTGACTCTCACTTAATGATATGTTTACATATTTTTGTTGGTTGTTGTTTTTGTCTCTGATAATAATAGCAATAATAACAATAATAATAATCTTTCTTTATTGTGTGTGTTTGGTGTTGTTGTGTTTCTGTGCATGCGTGTATGTAATTTATATATTTTGTGGGGGTGTTATTATTATTATTATTATTTTATTGTTTTTATTGTTGTTTTTGTTAACGAACATATTTCAACTGACTGCAGTAAAAGAAAAAAAAAAGGAAAAAAAAAAAATTAAGCCATCTAAAGAAATAAGTCATGTTGTCTCTGGACTCGTACGTCTACCCGAGGGGCGGTGCCGCTGCTTCCTTTTCTTCCCCACTCATGGATTGTACGAGCGCTATCCACAACTCGGACAATATTCAAAACGGTGCGCCCCATTTCACAACGGTAAAGAGCGTCAACGCTGTAGCATCGGCGGGAATTGTGAAGGAAACGACATATGCCACGTCAGAACCCCAGAGATTTGTCTTCCCGATAAAACATACCAATAACCCGTACACGCGTACATCGGCGGACGGTTCTCCCTGCGTCCCCACGTCTCCCCTTTCCGCGGAGGTGAGATTTCTGATGTCGTACAAGGACGAAGACACGAAAGGCCTCAATACGTTGATGTCGACATCCAACGAGCCACGCATGATGGCAACGGTGGCGAAAAACAGCTGCAGTGCTTTGCAGGGTCCTATGAAGAAGGGTGTTTTTCCACCTGCTCCTCGAAGCAGCACAATCAAACAATCCGCTTATCGCTCCCCACCATTCGTCAGGGCTGCTGCTGCTGCTGCTACTGCTCCTACAACACCCACTGTTATGAGCACCAATCCCATCAGCACGGAGTCGACATTGTCGTCAACCCACGCCACAGCAAGGCGTCTGGAGATTCCGAATACCCGTACCAATGCTTTGCACCAATCACCTCACACAAATAATTCTGGTTCTTCTGCGGCAGCAGCGACAACGACAACATCTACTTCAGTAACGCATGTCCGGTGCAAGCGCGTATACGTGAACGGACGTCCCATGACTGTGTGGCTTAATGGTAACGAACATTCTCAATAAGGGAAGGGATAAGTGCAACGGGGCGGCTACGAAACATTTTTTTTTTTTTCTTCTATTCCTGGCGGTTGTGAATTCAATAAAATAAAATAAAATAAAATAGAAATGAACATAAAAAAAAAAAAAAAAAACAGAAAGGGAGTGATAGAAACGGAATGTGGATGAGTGGACGCTGCATTTATTTATTTATTTATTTTTAGTTGTTGTTGTTCTTTTTATTGGGTGTTTTTTTTTTTTTCTATTTTCTTTTTGATGTTTTTTTTTTTTTTTTTTGGTTTGCTGCGGTGGTGTTTTCGCTGCTCTCTGGGCGCGTGGAAAAAGTGGGCGTTGTGGAATGGGATGAGGAAACTGTTGGGTGTGTATGTGTGTTGGGGGGGGGGGGGGGGGCGGGCGCCGTGTTTTTATTTTCTCTTCTCTTCTCTTTGGAGACGAGAAGGGGTACACATGCATATTTTTGTGTCAATGTGCACATACATACACGTGATACTTTGTGCTACGATCGAGGTGCGTGCAACGCGGCATGGAACTGAAGGGAGTGGTGGCAATGCTAGGAGTCTGTGACCAGGTACGTTGCGTCTGCGCATGTGGGTGTGTCTGGTGCTTCAATGTAAATGAATGACGACGTGAACGGGCAACACAAAAACAACAACAACGACAACAAAAGGGGGCGGGAATTGAATTCGTAGTGGTTCACCTACCAAGATCTTTTTTTTCTTTTTTCTTTCTTCTTTCTGCTTTTTTTTTTTGTGTGTGTGTGTGCGTGTGCTCAACTTGTTTATTATTTCTTGTTGTATTTACCATCTTCCAACAATTCTGCGTGAGGCATGTATATGTATATATCATATATATATATCTAATTAC